TGGGAGTCTCATAGTGAGAGGAGAGTCTGTCAGAGCTTCCGTACTTTTGTAGGGGAAAGCAGGCTCCCTCGCCAGCACACCCTGCTGCCTCACCATAGAGTACAGCCCACTGGCATACACATGCTGTCTGCCATGTGTATGCCAGTGACTCATGAAACTGCCAAGTGCTGACTGCAGAGAATGGCTATTTCTGTGTTTTCACTGCAACCCCGCTACCCCTAACTGTGCTGTCAGTGCACTCAATTGTGCAGAACACCCTGGTGGGCTCTATTCTTAGTTGCTAATTGAAGTAATTCTGTTTGTCTCAGCACTGTGGGCTCCTTAGATTTGGAAGTTAGACAGCCTCCCTGAACAGGAGGGGATGCTATTTCCTCTCATTCTCTCATGGACTGTGAAACGGTCCTGGGTACCCCTAGGGCCACACATGCCAACCTCTTGGCAGGGCTCCCTTTGCTGGCTGCTGCAGAGTACAAACTGCGGCCAGGTGCAAAGTGGAACGGTGAACAGGGCTATTATTCTGAGATGCGAAGTGTCCTTGGACCCACCAGCTCGGGAGGTGGGGCTCTTCCCTGAAGAGATCTGCATGTTAATGCATCACCATCTCTTTGAAACAGAAGGAAAGAGAGAATGTTGTTTTCCATTTGTGTTTCTCAGAGTTAATAGAGTAAATTGTAGCACTGTTTTCTATAAGTGAGGGCCAAAGTTTAACCTCTGGGATCTGGTCTTCTAGCTGGAAACTATAGCAGATTCTCTGCTTCTTGGGGTCTTTAAACCATCGTTTGAGGACTTCCATATCTGAGATATAGGTGAGAGGATTATTTTTGCAGTGGGTGGGTGAGATTCTGTGGCCTGCATTGTGCAGGGGGTCGGACTAGATGATCATAATAGTCCCTTCTGACCTTAAAGTCTATGAGATCTTTATGACTCAGGCCCAGATAGGAATGTATAAAACACACAGAGCAGAGCATATGTGGTATTGGAGCCGGCAAGATTTTGTGATTGCAGTAAGTTGTGCACTCACAATCAGGTGCATGGAATCAAGATTTTTAAGGGTATTTACAAGTGTGTGTGTTTGGGGATTTTTTAACATTTGTGTACACGACTGTTCTTCCTGGTGTTAGTCATGATTATGAGCAGAAATAAATACTGTGAGCATAACTGAGAACAATGTTTGTGCCTTCAGCTGGGGATGACAGAGTGATGGATATCGTTACAGCTTCTGACTTGTCTTAATCTGAGAGGAAATGGAAACCTTACATGAACTAGTTTTCCTGACATTCCCATGCCAAAATAGTTTTGGTAAGATTAAATTCTCAGTCAATCTAAACCTAAGTCTTAGATATTAGCCCATTACTAGTCACTGCTTTTGAAAAAAGTTGCAGGTAACTTTCCAGTTGGAGGAGGCTACCATCCCCATGGATAAAATACAATATACAGGCAGTCCCCGGGTTACGTACAAGATAGGGACGGTAGGTTTGTTCTTAAGTTGAATTTGTATGTAAGTCGGAACTGGTACATATTGTAGGGGAAACTCTAGCCAAACCTTTCTCCAGAGCTCAGTTTTATTCTCCCACACCTCACTTTCCTCAGTCCTTTATTCTCAAGCTGAGGTGTCTGCTGAGAAAAGCCGCTCCGCGTCTCCCTGGTCTGCTGGGGTGGGGAGGGGGGCGCTAGTTTCGCGTCTCCCTGGTCTGCTGGGGGGAAGCAGCTACTGCGGGGATGCCTCACCCCGTTTGTAAGTAGGGATCCGATGTAAGTCGGATCCATGTAACCCGGGGACTGCCTGTAATGTAGTTCATTGTACATGCTTCCCTGTCGACTATAATGTGTGCTCAAGTACATACCCACCCGTGTTTTGGAATAGCACATTTTTAGTGGTCATCTCTATGCTTCAGCGGTCATAACTGTAGTGTCTTAAGACACTATGTGGGTGTGTGTAATTTCCCATCAGTTCATCAGTTTCCTTTAAAAGCCACAGTCTTCTGGCAGCTTGTGTTTGAAGGGGAGAAAAAGCTCACTTTACTGTATTAGGTTGTTTATAGTTTTTTTTTTTTTTTTTTTTTTAAAGGAAGGCAGGTTGAAATCTAAATGATACATTTCAATTGTTGTGACCTGAACTGATTTTTTATTTTCAGTTTGTGAAAATCTGAGAGTCTGACTTTTCATCCTGATTCAGGATTGGAACATTTTTTGAACTCGCAAAATTTTTCATACAATAGAAAACTGTTCCCCACAGTTTTCTTTTTGTATCTTCCTCTGTAGCAACTGCTACTGGCCATTGTCAAAGATAGGATACGGAACTAGAGCAATGATGGGTTTGATATCATTTGGCCATGACTATGTAGCCCTAAATTGGCACATTTTAATGGTGCTCATGTTGACAAAGCACTTGAGCAGAAGAGCTATCCTAGTCCTAAGCTTTATTATTAAGTTGCGCATTTTTTCCCGTTCTCTTTAGATCTCCGGTTTCTTCAGTTTACAACCAACTGTTCCCCAAGGCACCAAGCTGTAATATCATTGACACGAAGTTGAGGTCATGAGGTTATACATACTTAACAGCTGCAACTCTCCATTCACTCTTGGGCAGGAATTCATCTGCCACGGCTCAGGTCTTTGAATTATTTGATCTTGGGCTTTTAAACAAGACTTACCCTGATTTTAATAATTGTTGTTTCCTGTACTTGAGAGGTACAGTGCCAGCAATGTTCAATATTTGATTATTTTAAAATGAAAGATCTCTCCACATAGAGACACAAATAAAAGAAAGCCATCCTCTCTCCCCACCCCAAATAAACCCTAAAAAATGCATCCAAGTCCTGCTTTCCCCCAAGTCCCCATATTTTAAATCCTCTCGCACTGACAATATAGCTCTTTTTTCTGCTGCTACCCTGCTTTTTTACTAGCTTTGTTCAATACAGTATCTAGCCCAATGAGATCTGTATTTTGGTAGGGACCTCTAAGCATTACTGTAGAACAAAGAGTAATTATGAAAGCTTTGGGACAGGGACTTTTGTTCTTTTATGTATCTGTGTGGTACGTGGCATGCTACTGGCGCTATGATAAATAAGCAGGATGCAGAGCGAGTGGAAAAATCAGCATCTAACCTTAGAGAGTTAGGGTATGTCTAGACTACATGCCTCTGTCGCCAGAGGCATGTAGATTAGGCTACCAGACATAGGAAAATGAAGCGGCGATTTAAATAATCGCTGCTTCATTTAAATTTACATGGCTGCCGCGCTGAGCCGACAAACAGCTGATCAGCTGTTTGTCGGCTCAGCGCGGCAGCCATGTAAATTTAAATGAAGCAGCGATTATTTAAATCGCCGCTTCATTTTCCTATGTCTGGTAGCCTAATCTACATGCCTCTGGCGACAGAGGCATGTAGTCTAGACGTACCCTTAGTGTGGTTCATGAGATATATATGGGTAGGTGAAACCAGCCTAGCAAGCTATGCGAGGTTTTTATCTGTGTAACATGTATACTGCTAACAATCATGTCTGTATGACAGTGTCTCCTTGGTGTGGCTGGTTCATGCACCTGTAATACCAGCTGCTGCCTTTCATCTCCTTTAGCTCAACAGGTAGAAACCTGGGCCTTTGGTAGTGAATTCCTTAGACTCAATCCCCATAGGTGACTATGCCTCTGTCTACAGTTGCAGACATGTTTCATTGCATCCAGTTGATGGAACAGGACCTTGCTTGGTCACTACAAAGATCGGGATGATCAGTTTTTCTTGACAGCAGTTCCAATACCCCACCTTTGTTTCTTGTATTGACTTCTGGCTGTTCGGTAATCTGGAGGGGCTATACTCCTCACCCCAAGTCACTCTCTTTTCCCCAGTACGAGATGGTTCCTGTGACTTGCATCTTTTGGCAGAGTTTTATTTCATAAATTGGGAGCTTGCAATTATTCTTGTTCATGTCTGTGTGCAACAGGTGTCGCTTTCAGTGTAGTACAGAGGAATCCCAAAATAGCTCGCACTGTGAAGGAAAAAATACTGGTTATTTCAGCCTCAGTTGTACTGAAAACCCAAAGCTTATAGCCCGTTCTGAAATCTGGTATGAATTTGGCAGGTGTACCGATTTTGTTGGGTTTTCCTTTATTTATTTTTTACCATACGATGCCCTTTTCCCCCCACATAGATTATTTCATATGCTGTTGTCTTTTCATTAGTCTCCACACAGGTGTCTTGTTGCTCAAATGCTATACCGTCCTTTGTTCATCCTCTGGGTTTCCCTAGTTCTTGAAGATAAATCATCTGAGAGCCCAACTTTCTTTGCTGAACATTGGATCTATCTGTGGCTCGCTAGGGTTAACCTTCAGTCTGCAGCCTGGGGAGCTGTGTCCAAGCCCCCTGGAATGGTTTGTTTTCCTGACCTATGCAGGGTTCTGCTGATGTTTTTAGCTATTAGGAAGATTCTTGGCTTGTGACTAGTACTGCTGGCGATCCAGACAATGGTGTCATGAGCCTGAAAATCTTCTGGTACAAACCTTCATTTTATCAAGTTAATACATTTAATACATTTTCTAAATCTGTGCAGATGGAAAGGAAAGAGCTTATGATTTTCCAATGCTTATGGTAACCCAGACTTACGTAGTTTGTCTCTCTGTCTCCCTCAAGAGGCTAGGTGTTTTGCTGTTATAACACACAGAGGTTGACGGATTTGTTACAGCCTTTGGGCTAATGCAGCTGGGTGTTTTAGCTCAGGCAGTTGAGGCTCATGCTTTCAGATCCAGAGGTCCAAGGTCTCATCCCTGCTTTCACAAACCCATGCAGGGATATCCAGTTACCTCCCCATTTTACAAATGGTTACACACGCACTTTACTCGGGTGGATAGTTCTTTTGAAGTCCCATTGTGCATAAAGTTAAACATATGCATGAACATATGTGGGCTCTGGGCCTAACTGTGTTATGTCAAACATTGTCTCCTATCCCTGAAAGAGTTAATCAAACAACATTAATATGCCATTGGAATTTTCTTGTTTTTTTTTCTTTTAGGAAAGGGAGAGGATTTACCTTGGTATAAAAAGAAAAACCACAACAGAGTTGGCCGTGATGTCAGTTGCACTTGTTCAAGATCTGATTTACTGGCTACCGACCTCAAAAGAGTTAACCGAGTAGGTGTGACTAAGCAGCAGAGAAAAAGATGCAAGCATGAGAGTTTTGGAACCAAAGCAAAGAAACTGAGGTGAGGAAAAAAGGGGGAAAAAGGAAAAGGTGCAGAGTCCAGCAGTGACGGACTTTCTTGATTTGACTGGCCCTGGCATTGTTGGCATCAGCTCTCCTGGGAAAGCTGCAGTTCCGCTGTTATAACACAGGGAGCAGCCTGGAGAATTTTGAGCTGCGTCACAGAGCTCTGAGAGAGAGAGTGAGTGTGAGAGAGAGAGAGAGAGAGCAAGCAAGCTCCCTCGATAGGTCTACTAGCAACAGCCCTGCTGCAGCAAGAGGGGGGAGAGAGAGAGGCAGCAAGAGAGAGAGACAGAAGTAATAACAACATCATGGACCGGGCTCCTGCAACTAGCCAGCTTAATTTTTAAAAAATTTATTTTGGCTTAATTAATATTGGAGGTTTCGCCCATTGACGATGCCGGAGACATGACGCGTTTAATCTCGCGGGAAGGGATGGTGGGCAGACATTGGAAGGGTTAACGGGAGGAAAATTCTGGAACATTCTATTCTGCGGCGCTGCACAGCGAGCAAGTGAAGGGCTAAGGACTGCGCAGCTGTTTAACGGGCAGAGGTCTTCGGCTCGGGGTCCGTCATTCCCACGTATGTACCCTTTGATTGGGTTTGGGTTCGAACTGCATCTCATTCTATTTATTTCCAGGTTCTTCCCCACTACTCCTAAGTCCAAACCCCGGAGTGGTTTTATTATTATTTTGGCTGGCTGTTACTGCACTGTTCTGCGTCAGAGCCGTTTTCTGAATGGAACGATGGCACAGGTGGTACTAATGTCACTCTTGCCTGTAGTGCTGTTATGCAGGTGGGGGTGGTGGTCGTGGGGGCAGATGACAACTTTGCAGAAGCTACCATTTTAATGTTTTGGGGTTTTTAAAATTTCTCCCTCCCATCTATTTGAAGGCTGGCACGTCGGCAAAGGCTCTGTGCGAGGATTAACAGACACTCTGCATTTTAAAGCTCGGAGGTTTGTCACTGCGTAGTTCAGAAAGTGGGAAATGGTGACGCAGTGATCCTTGCAGGGCATGTCGTCCAATTTATAAAAGCATCAGGGGGACAGGTACACAGTGCCTTTCAGAGGCTTCTAGACCAGCTGAAAGGGGTTAAGGATGAGTCGAGAAGGGAAGCTAGGGTGTAGGGATTAAATGTCATCATTTTGGCGTTGGAAAGTTGTTTACCTTGCTCTCTCCGTGTCTCCATGTTGGCAGTCTTCCAGCTCACATGTGATAGTCTTCCCTGTACTGCTGCATCATTAACTAAGTGGCTGAGCTTGCACACGATTGGCTGGGGAGGGTTCTGAGTCTAAACACTTGTTCCTATTGGTAGAAGGGGTGATGGCAGGTGAAAAGCTCTCCTGGATTGGCTGAGAGGAGGGTGTCAAATCTAAATGTTGATTTCACTTTCCTCAAAGCAGTTCTAAACATTTTGTGAGTTAAAATCAGCTGGGGTTTCTCTCTTATTTTTTAAGGCAGGCATTTGAAATATCTCTGTCTCTAATAGCGTCAGTTATACAAAGCAACAAAAAGCAAGGGGTGAAGGTGACAAACTCTCAGAGGTGGTCTGACATGTTATTTATGCAAATAACACAGCCAAAACAAGTATTTCATAGCTTGAGTTACTTCAGTGACAAGCGAGTTTCCTGTTGCTGTAAAATAAGCCACAGTGGTGTGTCAGTATTACAGGCCAGATGAAAGTGATAGATTTGTATGCATCTTTCTCTTCCTTCTAAGGATATTAAGTTCTTCTTATTGACCAACAGCAGAGGTCTGGGAGGGACCTGGAAGAGAGATTAAGGAGGCCAAGACAAATGAGATTTTTTTCATAACAATTTTCTGCTATCTTCTCACCTTCTCCCACCTCCCTGAAGTAATAATGAAGTTTTTGGTTCTACCCTGAAGTTGTATGGATGCTAGCGAACTACTAGAGCTTGGAACTCCTGGCTCAGGAAGCCATCCAGATTCTGCACAGGAGTAGTAATGTTCTTAATCATTCATCGGAGAAAGTAATCCTTTATCCTTTTTTCATGTGAAGTGACTTCGAGAATATGGGATTCTAAGCATATAACGTATCACTCACCAACAGCTAAAGAGCCTAGTAAGCAACAGTCGCTGGGTTTACAACTAGGTTGAATATATTGCATTTTCTGTCTTTTATAGTGGTTTGTCTCCTGAAGTGCATCCTGATATTTTATATACTGTAATGTAGCTACGTGCTTGCACACCCTTACAGGACTGATTTCATCGGGTCTTAAAAGGCACCTGCCTTGCACTCTTATCTCCTGCGCAATGTCTTGGGGCAGTAAAAAGGAAGGAGGAGACCATTTTCGAAGAGGGAGATGTGGTAGGAGACAAGAGGAGGGAAAATAACAAGCATGATGGGAGGGATAACAGATCTGGTACCCTTTTTCCCTCCTTGTGCCCAACTCTACCCCTTTCACCTCCCCCTCCTTGCCAAGGTTCATGGTGAATTTAAAATTCTCTTACTGCAGTTGCTGCTGCCCCTGCCGACTCGCTGATCCCTCACCCTGTGGATTTGGCTCCCTTGGAGTCTCCTTGCTTCCTGCAGTGCCAATTCCGCAGAGCAGTGGAACAGCAGCAACGGCAGTAACAATGGTGTTCTCTGCAGCAAGATGAACAGGCACAAATACGTATGTATATAGGCATGATACTGCGGTTGCATTTGTGCAAGGCAATAGCTGAGAGAATTCCGTGCAGCCGGCAGCGGGGTTAAGAGCTATTGCTTGGCAGACTGGTGGGTTAACTCCATTTTGCTAAATGTTGTGTTTATGGATGCCCCTTGTATTTTTCACCTATCATTGCTGGGGGCTCTGTATTAACTTGCAGTGCACGGTGCCCAGAAATGGCATTTGCTATGCTGTTTGTGGACCCCTCATTGAGGACTGGATTTAGAGAAGGAGGTTCAGTTGGCAGCCTGACCACTCAACAAAGAGCAAATGTCTTTTATTAGCATCTAAATGTTGTGTTTATGGATGCCCCTTGTATTTTTCACCTATCATTGCTGGGGGCTCTGTATTAACTTGCAGTGCACGGTGCCCAGAAATGGCATTTGCTATGCTGTTTGTGGACCCCTCATTGAGGACTGGATTTAGAGAAGGAGGTTCAGTTGGCAGCCTGACCACTCAACAAAGAGCAAATGTCTTTTATTAGCAT